TTTTTGCTTAACATCAATAATTTAGAAATTTGCATTGAAATATTCTTCTGTATTTGGATTGATCAAAATAGTCCTATATATTTATTACTTTTTGTTTTTTAAAAATATTTTTAGGCCATTTTATTAAGTATATATAAGTTCAGGTACATTTATAAATGTAGGTGCTTTGTGCATTCCTGATAAATCAAAATTGTGATTGTCATTACTTTCTCTCATATAGATAATATTTTTTGTCTTAAAGCCTATTTTTCAGATATTAATATGCCAATCCTGGTTTTTTTTTTTTTTTTTGGTTAGTTGGCATTGTCCTGGTATATCATTTTACATCTTTTCTACCTTTCTGTATCTTTTTCATTTAAATATGTCTATTAATTTACATATAGTAGGATTTAAAAAATGCAGTTTGCAATTTCTGTCCTTTAACTGGAGATAAGTTTAGGCCATTGTGTTTATATTATACTGAGACTTGTTTCTACCTATTTTGAATTTCTACTCTTTATATTTGTCTAAAAATGCTTTTGCTCTATTATTTGGTTAATATTTTAGATACCTTTTAATTCTTTCATTTTTGTTGTGGAATATACACAATTTCTCTTCTTTTAGCCATTGCTTTATAAATTTTAATATGGAGATTTAATGTACCAGAGTCTAAAGTTAAACAATATTTGATGCCCTTTTTATTTCAAGTTTTTATTTAATTTCTAGTTAGTTAACATATATGGTAAAATTGGTTTCAGGTGTAGAATTTAGTGATTCATCACTTAAATATAGCACTCAGTGCTCATCACAAGTGCCCTCCTTTATATGCATCACCCATTTAGCCCATCCCCTGCCCACCTCCCTCCATCAGCCCTCACTTTGTTCTCTACAGTTAAGAGTCTGTTATGGTTTGCTTCCCTCTCTTTTTTCCCCCTGTCCTATGTTCATCTGTTTTGTTTCTTAAATTCCACATATGAGTGAAATCATATGGTATTTGTCTTTCTCTGACTGACTTGTTTCACTTAGCATAATGCTGTCTAGCTCCATGTATGTTATTGCAAATGGCAAGATTTCATTGTTTTTGTTGGCTGAGTAATATTCCATTGCGTATATATACACCACCTCTTCTTTTTCCATTCATCAGTCAGTGGATACTTGGGCTGCTTCCATAGTTTGGCTATTACAGATAATGCTGCTATAAACATTGGGGTATATGTAGCCCTTTGAATTGGTATATTTGTTTCTTTTGGGCAAATCCCTAGTAGTATAATTGCTGGATCATAGGTTAGTTCCATTTTTAATTTTTTGAGAAACATCCATACTGTTTTCAGAGTGGCTGCACCAGTTTGCATTCCCAACAGTGTATGAGGGTTCCCTTTTCTCTGCCTCCTTGCCAACATCTGTTGTTTCCTGTGTTAATTTTAGCCATTCTGACAGGTGTGAGGTGATATCTCATCATGGTCTTGATTTGCATTTCTCTGATGCTGACTGATGTTGAGCATCTTTTCATGCATCTGTTGGCCATTTGGATGTCTTCTTTGGAAAAATGTTCATGTCTTCTGCCCAATTCTTAACTGGATTATTTATTTTTTGGGTGTTGAGTTTGATAAGTTCCTCATAGATTTTAGATACTAGCCCTTTATCAGATATGTCATTTGCAAATATCTTCTCCCATTCCGTAGGTTGCCTTTTAGTTTTATTGATTGTTTCCTTTGCTGTGCCGATGCTTTTTATCTTGATGAAATTGCAATAGTTCGTTTTTGCTTTTGTTTCCTTTGCCTCTGGTGGTATGTCTAGCAAGAAGTTGCTGTGGCTGAGCTCAAAGATACCGTTGCCTGTGTTCTCCTCTAGGATTTTGGTGGTTTCCTGTCTCACATTTAGGTCTTTCATCTATTTTGAATTTATTCTTGTGCATGGTGTAAGAAAGGGGTCCAGTTTCATTCTTCTGCATGTGGCTGTTCAGTTTTCCTAATAGCATTTATTGAAGAGACTGTCTTTTTTCCATTGGATATTCTTTCCTGTTTTGTCAAAGCTTAGTTGACCATATAGTTGTGGGTCCATTTTTGGGTTTTCTATTCTGTTCCATTGATCTGTGTGTCTGTTTTTGCGCCAGTACTGTACTGTCTTGATGACTACAGCTTTGTAATACAGCTTGAAGTCCAGAATTGTGATACCTCCAGCTTTTCTTTTCCTTTTCAGGACTGCTTTGGCTATTCAGGGTCTTTTGTGGTTCTATACAAATTTTAGGATTGTTTGTTCTAGCTCTGTGAAAAATGCTGGTGATATTTTGATAGGGATTGCATTAGATATGTAGATTGCTTTGGGTAATATAGATATTTTACCAATATTTGTTCTTCCAATCCTTGAGCATGGAATGTCTTTCCATTTCTTTGTGTCCTTTTTAATTTCTTTCGTAAGTGTTCTCTAGTTTTCAGAGTACAGATCTTTTTACTCTTTGGTTAAGTTTATTCTTAGGTATCCTACAGTTTTTGGTGCAATTGTAAATGGGATTGATTCCTTGATTTCTCTTTCTGCTGCTTCATTATTGGTGTATAGAAATGCAACAGATTTCTGTATGGTGATTTTATAGCCTGTGACTTTGCTGAATTTGTGTATCAGTTCTAGCAATATTTTGGTGGAGTCTTTTGCGTTTTCTACACAGAGTATCATGTTGTCTGTGAATAGAGAAGGTTTGACTTCTTCCTTGCCAATTTGGATGCCTTTTATTTCTTTTTGTTGTCTGATTGCTGTGGTTGGGACTTCCGGTACTGTATTAAATAACAGTGATGAGAGTGGACATTCCTGTCTTGTTTCTGACTGTAGGGGAAAAGCTCTCAGTTTTTACCCCATTGAGGGTGGTATTATCTGTGGTTCTTTCGTATATGGCCTTTATGATGTTGAAGAATGTTCCTTCTATACTACTTTCTTGAGGGTTTTTATCAAGAATGGATGCTGTATTTTGTCAAATGCTTTTTCTGCATCTCTTGAGAGGATCAAAATGTTCTTATCCATCCTTTTATTAATGTGGCATATCACATTGATTGATTTGGGAATCTTAAACCACCCATGCAGCCCAGGAATAAATCCTACTTGATTGTGGTGTATAATTCTTTTTATGTACTGTTGGATTTGCTAGTATCTTGTTGAGAATTTTTGCATCCATGTTCATCAGGGATATTGGCCTGTAATTCTCCTTTTTAGTGGGGTCTTTGTCTAGTTTTGGAATCAAGGTAATGCTGGCTTTGTAGAATGAGTTTGGAAGTTTTCCTTCCATTTCTATTTTTTAGAACAGTTTAGAAAATAGATATTCTTCTTTATTATCTTTGTTTTTATTTATTTTAGAAAGAAAGAGCATGTGAGTGGAGGGGGGAGGGGCAGAAGGAGAGAGAGACTCTCAAGCAGACTCTGCATTGAATACAGAGCCTGATGTGGGGCTCAGTCTCAAGACCCTGTGATCATAACCTGAGCCAAAATCAAGAGTCGGTTGCTTAACTGACTGAGCCACCCAGGTGCCCCGGTATTAACTCTTCTTTAAATGGTAGAATTCCCCTGGGAAGCCATCTGTTTTGGTTACTGATTCAATTTCTTTGCTGGTTATAAGTCTGTTCAAATTTTCTATTTCTTCCTGTTTCAGTTTTGGTAGTTTGTATGTTTCTAGGAATTTATCCATTTCTTCCAGATTGCCCAGTTTGTTGGCATATACTTTTTCATATGCCATTCACATTCTCTTATACTTGCTTGTTTCTGTGGTGTTGGTTGTGATCTCTCCTCTCATTCATGATTTTATTTATTTGGGTCCTTTCTCTTTTCTTTTTGATAAGTTTGGTAGGGGTTTATCAATTTTATTAATTCTTTGAAACCAGCTCTTAGTTTTGTTGATCTGTTTTACTGTCTTGTTTCTATGTTGTTTATTTCTGCTCTAGTCTTTATTATTCCCCTTCTTCTGCTGGCTTTAGGCTTTATTTGCTATTCCTTTTCTAGCTCCTTTAGGCGTAAGTTTAGGTTCTCATAGGCCTTCTTAGTTATAGTCCATCCATATCCCTCAGAGGGAACCACTATTCTCTTGTTTTTCCACCACAGTTTAGTTTTGCATGCTGTAGAGTTGCCTTAAGCTGAAGTTTACTCACTCTAATTTTCCTGAATCATCTATTTATCATGAACTCTTTTTTCAATATAAACCTCTGTATTTACTTATAAACATATTTTATGATAAATTAAATCACAAAATTTCTTAAGGGAAGGAAAAAAGAGAAATAGAGGAAGGATAAAAGAAAATATTAGAGGACACCAGCTTTAGATATTAAATTAACACTGTAAGCACCAATGACTTTCCTTTAGCAAGAAAGGAGAATAATCTTAGCAACAGGAAAAGCCAATTTGACAAACACAGATGCACAAGAGAGTTACTACAACTGATTTAAACAATAAGTTTGGGCCTAACAATTCCATCAAGTTGTATAATTAAAACACCAGTTCTCATTAATTCCCAAGGTATGGAAATGGAGTGATAGGGGTCATTAAGTGATCTCTAATTTAGAAAGACAAGAGAGAAAGAATCTTAACATGAAGGTTTCTTCCCTTTCTGTTCTAATATATCTGTCAAATGAACAATCTTGCTCTTGTCAAAAGTTCCTCCCAGTGGCCACTGAAATTTCATATTGTTCTGGAGGAATTATGCCAATTGGAGAGATATATGAATTTAAACACAAAGGGAGCATGTGTTCGGTATAGAGAACCAAATAGACTGAGATGATCTAATGAGAAGTGCAACAGTCAGTAAAAACAACTTGGCCAAAGACCAGTCATCCCCACCTGGGGGCCCAGCAAAATCCTTCACTGCAAGCAGATGAAACAAACAGTTCTCAGGAACACAGCAAAACTAAGGAAAGTCCTTATAAAGTTTAACGTCTTGTAAAAGTGACCCAAAGCAAAATTTGTCTAAAGGATGTTGCTCTAATGAGAACTTTTAAACTTGGGCTTGGCTCAAGGATGAATTTATCAGGCCTATTCCTGTCCTATCTCTTTATTTTTATTTTATTTTTAAAAATATTTACTTATTTTGGAGAAGGAGAGCATGAGTGCAAGCGGGGGTGGGGGGGAGGGGGAGGGGAGGGACAAGCAGACTCTGCACTGAGTCCCACATGGGGCTTGATCCCACAACCCTGAGATCATGACCTCAGCCAAAATCAAGAGTCAGATGCTTAACTGACTGAGCCACCCAGGGCAGCCACCCTGTTTTATCTCTTTAGACTTTATATTATAACTCTCTACAAGGTGACAAAGACAGACTGAGAGACAAAGGGTACTGTTGTTAGGAGACAATATAATCTTAGCATTTGGGAGCTCAACAAAACCATCGGTGCTCAGTACCAATGTGGTACTTATCTCACTCTTGTGGTTGGAGAAATACCTGCGTGGGAGACTCAGGGGCCTCACTGGAGTGCCCTGTTCTGAATTTAGAGTCTTGAGCCATGTTAGTGAGTGGATCTCAACTGGATCTCAGTGGAACATCCAGGATTTTTGACTATTGTTTTCCCAAAGGACCACCAGAAAACCCTGTTAATCCAGCAGTTTTGATAGACATGAGTAGAGCATAGTATATTCAGATGATCCTCCTTAGCTTTAGAATATTTAAACTCTCAAAGCTGTTACTCACTTCCTCTGTACAATTTCACATTTCCTATTCCCCTCAACTCCCAGAGGAGCCTCCCTAACAAAACCTACTAGTCTCATGAAAGCCTTGACTATCCATTTACGTCCTTCTTTCTACTGTTTCTAGGTCTTGAATTGGAGCTTCTCTCTAGAATTATGCTAAGAGTAGAGTCCAAGCCATTGCATTGCTTAATTCCTGAAGGCACCGTTCACATTATAGTCTATGTGAATGACAACCCATTGGCTTGTATAATGCACAATCTGCATGACCACAGGTGGCAGCTACACATAAAGGATTAAGTGCATAAAAATGAGAGGAAAAGGTTAAATGGGTTACCATAGAAGGAAAGTGTGTGTGTGTGTGTGTGTGTGTGTGTGTGTGTGTGTGTGATTAGCCTTGGGATCTGGGAGTATTAATCTTTTTCCTCTTTTTCATTTTTCAGAGATCTTCAGATCATCTTTTATGGCAGTTCCACAAATCTTCGAGACTTTACTGGGGAGATTGTACCTTATGAGAGGATCATTATTCACCCAAACTTCACTGTTACCTCTCCTAAGGATGACCTCATGCTGATAAAGCTGCTTGTACCTTATACCTTCTCCACCAAAATTTTTCAGTTGCCTACTCTCAAGAATGCAGTTAAAGATTGCTTGATTCACACTTGGTTAGACAACAAAGACTTTATTGGTGAGTGACTATCAAAAAGAAGAGTTAGTTCTTGGATATATTCACATCTTTAGGATCTCTAAGGAATTAGGGGAAGGAATTGGAACTTACAGGGTAGTGCCAGATTTCTACACACATGTGTAAAGCTAGAAACGGAACAACAGTATTGGCTTTCTAGAGTAGAAGTGATTTTAATTAGGGCTTTGGGAATCAAATCCTAAATCAAAGTGTTGCATGAATGTATCACATTGGCACACACCACAGGGGCTAGAATCTGAGGTCTATGTTTGAGTATTGATTCTAACATTCATTATAGGTTTATGAACAAATTCTTTCACTTCTTGAATCTTAATTTGCAAATTGGTAAGAATCATATTTTCCCTTTACCTAACAGGAGTGATATTGTTATCAATTACAACAACGGTAGTAACTACCATTTGTCAATCACTACTTATGTACCAGGCATGAAGCGTCCTATACATATTATATAGTCATCATTACATATCATGTAGATAAGTTTCCTTGGGATTTATAGCTTATAAGACAGGAAACTAAGACTCAGGGAAATTAGTTATTCGAGATCATGAACTTGGCAATGACAGAGCTTGAATTCAGATCTTGTTTGATGTGTGGGGTGTCTTCTCAGCAACCACCCCCTTGATCCTGATCATCTGTCAGAGACGATAAATTGAGCAGGAGGATGTGTTTGATCCATGGTTGTTCATTCTTACTGAGAAGAAGCCCTGAAGGAGGAGGAGGCGGGGTGCCTTATGAAAAGGCAAACAGGAATCAAAGTCTCCTTATTTCTTGTGCTTAGGAAATTCAAACCACAAGCTGCAGAGAGTCAAGATTCAACTGAGCTCTAATATAAACTGCAAAAAATTACTGGGTGAAAAACTCCTTGAAGACATGTTCTGTATAGGACCCATGCTAGGAAGCCAAGAGCCATGCCAGGTAAGTCTTCTTACCTCATTTGCCCCTAAGCTCAGTCTCTACTCTTTGTGTTTCTCATCCTTCTTCGAGGGGCTGGATTTTTCAGTCAGGCTGGGAGTTCAGAGAGTAAGGTGGCTAAAGAATGATGACTCTTTCTTCTCCACCCTGTGATAGACATGAAAGAAACAGATTTTGGGGTGGAAAGCTATCTCCCAGCTACTGCTTGGAAATATCTGTATAGGGATGACTGGGAGGTGTAGGGGTCATTAGTGCAATGGAAAGAAGCTTTCATATGGTATTCTTATATCTTGGACCCCTTTGCGTGGCAAATGTAGTAGCTTTCATTTTTGTTCAGGAGTTGAGGAAATCTCGGGCGGGAAGGAATTTCTGATCCCTCTACTCTGTCTGGCAGGTGGTCACAGCTGCACCAGCCATATGTGGTGGTGAATTACAAGGAATTTTGTCTTGGGAAACTGGATGTATTCTCACAGGATACACTGTTGTCTTCACTGACCTACACAGCTACATTCCATGGATCAAGAACATTATGTCTACAAAATAAGCTGATATAGAGCTCCATTGACTCCCTTACCTCCCAGCTGATCCACAGCAACCACATTATGTATCTCAGTCCCAGTCTTTCCTAGGATCTAGGCTTGATTGGAGTTCCAAAATAGATCGTTGATGACTCCTGGGTGTTGGCATGACTCTAGTCTCTTTAACTGCTTCTTTGCTTATTCCTAACTCATGACTAAATGTTTTTGACATTGAAAACATGAGTGCTGGTCTCAGGAAGTGAAATTCACCCAGGAATCTTTTTGGATTCTACCTACGCAGATATTTCTGTTAAAATACTCTCTGCTTTATCTTAAGACTGCAAAAAACAAGTGGAAATGAGGGATAATAACTACCAGGAGTCTATTTGGGTAAAGTGTAACCACATAGCTGAGCAATAATTTGCCAAAAGTTGGTCAGATGATTAGCAATTTTTCTAATGACCAAGTGTCTCCTGTGTAAGTGTGTGTGTGTGTGTGTGTGTGTGTGTGTGTGTGTGTGTGTGTATGCGTGGTTGTAGTTAGTTCCCATTAGTTACTTAAAAGATCTATAGAATTCAGATTTGCTTAGGTTTACTGAGACCACCCAAAGGTCATTGTAATATTTGGAATAAATAAGGATTTCTGTATTTTGAACAAAAGCTGTAATGCATATTCATAAATGATAGGATGGGATTTTTTCCAATACATTTTCCTTCTGGTTTACTGCTTTTTATTTAAAATCACACATACATGCTTAAAGGGGCACAAAGTGGTGGAGTTCATGAGGATTTTGCCTCAGAACTTTCATACATGCCTCTGAATACACCTTCTATACAGTGCATGCACTCATGAGCACACACTTTCATCCACAAACACACTCAGAAGACGCTTGTTATTCCAAAAATGTGTTTTCCACATACTATTTTTCATTAATCAATGAGAGATTAAACTGATTTTAAACTAAAGCCTATCCATTTTCATATAAAATATTGAACATTCAAGAAATTTGTCTCTGAAATGTGAAATGCATTTTTGTTTTGCCCCATACTGTGAATTACTGGGATTTCTTAAAATTCAAATTGCTATCCAGTTGATTAAATCACCTATTTTTACAGATTCACAAAACCAAAACATTTTACTTTTTAAGACTCTCATGGGGATTAGAGATAATGTGGGAAGTACGTTGCATGCAGAGGAACAATGTAGGAATTAGCAGCGGTTACTAATTTTGACAGTTTCTACCTCTTTCACCCTTTTGTTGCCTAGTTAATTCCTGCTACTTCTGGTTGCTAACAGTCCTTTTCATCCTTGCCATATGCCAGGTTGTGTATTGTCATCAGCCAACTGAACGAGTTGCAAGCAAACTTTTTACTGGAGTGATCTTCCTAACAACCTACTCTGAGTCCTGTTCTCTCTTTTCTGGCCTCAGGCTTACAGATCTTACTTTCTCCATTCCACTGGCATTGTTCCAGGCTGAATCAGGTGTTTTAATTACAAGCCTTTTCTTATTGATTGGGTCATAAATTCTTTAATTTGGGGGTCTTTTTACTTCTTTATATCTTCTGGACTTGAGTTTTTTATGTATGAATTACCTTCTCTCTTTCTCATCTCATTCCTCAATTTGAAAAGGAAAAGGTAAGTCTATCTATCCAGCTGTCTGTCTTACCTACTATCATCTATCTATCTATCATCTATCTATCTATCTATCTATCTATCTATCTATCTATCTATCTATCATCTATCATCTATCTATCATCTATCTATCTATCATCTATCTATTATCATCTATCTATCATCTATCTATCTATCATCTAATCATCATCTCATCACCATCTGTGTATCTAACTGAGCCAGGACTGTTTATCACACTACTAATTTTTGAGTGTGTGAATACTTTTCTAATTATCCTATCAATTTCACCTAAACTCCAATTCTGTATATGATTGATTCCAAAGACTTTTGACTTTTTTCTTTTCTTCTCTCTTCCTTTTTCTTTCTTTCTTTCTCTTTTCTTTCTTTTTCTTTCTTTCTTTCTTTCTTTCTTTCTCTTTCTTCTTTCTTTCTTTCTTTTTTTTTTTTTTTTTCTTTCTCTCTCTCTCTCTCTTTCTTTCTTTCACTATTCTCCATTTTAAGTTAGTCTACTAAGAATTTCAGGTATCACATCCACCTTCCTCTCCTGACATGCTGACCAACAACTGCTCATTTTCTTTCTGGTTCCTTTTTCTCTTCCCATGGGCTAGGGGTAATGTTGCATGACCTTCTCTGTACTTTAAATACTTTTCATTTAAGTGGATCCCTGATACCAAGCTACAGATTTCAGTACCATAATTGGAGAACACAGGAATGCTTGCCCTGTTTGGTCCAGGGATGGCTTTTCTCTGCACTCTGGTTCCCCATCCTGTCTCCAACCTTATGATTCAGTCATGCCTGACCTTCAGATCAGGAGGATGGGGATCACCTTTTAGGTACATAATTTTATTTATATAGTACTTCAAAGATCCCTTCTAAACTCATGTGTATATGTTACATATTTGGCTTTTATTTACCCCTCAGTGTGATTATGGGTCTTCATTTCTATTGGTTCCCTGCATAAACTCTTGTAAGCTCACCATATTTATTACCACATACTTGCCTACCATTTACATGCTTCTGACATCACAACTTTTCTTCCTCAGTCCGTGTCCTTCTTTGGAAATATGTAGGGGATTAATACTCAGGTTCAGTAGACTGTGATTCAGTTCTTAGCCTAGAATTAACAAACTGTAAATTTGGAAAATCAATGAGCTTTCGTTTTTAGATTTGCTTTATCTATAAACAAAAGAGTTAGACCTGATGATCTCGGTGGTGGACCCTGTGACTGCCCTCCCAGCATCCACTCCACCCCCTCCTCTGTTAGGTCACAGTCATACTCTAGGGTGCGGTCTGCATTGACAAACTTATCAGTGAACTCCCTGAGTTTGGTTTGGAGATGGATACATGATGCCGTTTGGCTTATTAAACATCAGTCCCTCTACATTCAGTGTTGAGATAACATTATAATGAGCTATTGTTGAGACCTTGTTTTGGGCCTTGTGGCAGGTGAATGAGACAGAGCAGAGTTACTGCTGTCACTTGGCAACCAGCAGGGAAGCTGCCTGGGGATGAAGTGCATCCACAGAGGAGGTCAAAACAAGAGAATTGCCCAGAAATGTAGCTGAAGTCCTGATAAAACCATTCCAGGATTTAAGTCTTCTCTCTGGATATTTTTTTGTTATATAATCCACCATGAAATTCCTCTCAGTGTTTAAGACAACTTGCATTGGGCTTTCCATTGCTATAATTAAAAATATCTCAAGTGATACAGTTTCCAAACTTCCTTCTGTCTCTGCCATCAATCTAGACCAATGTGTGCTAAGTGTTTTATATATTCATTCTTATTAATTTTCATGGAATACATGTGGAGTCATTTTTATTAGACACAAACATTCTGCATCTCCTCAGATCTTCTCAACTGCCTCTTTGTTTTCAAAGGCTTTGCCTGTCTCCTTGATCGTACTGCTACCACATTTTTGGGACTCTATAAACTGGCTGGAGGCTGAATTGAAGCTCTGAGCATGGATAGCTCTCATGCCCATAAGCTGAACCTATCCATGCCAAGTTACCACACTACTTTAAAGCTTGTATACAAAGGCACACTTTCAGGCCTTAGTTTGGGTTTTCTGAGTGACAAGGGGAAGATGGTATCATCATGAAATCTGAGTAGTTATAACCTGGGGTATGAACCTTGACCAATGAGAAATGAGGAGGGGGAGCCAGACAAACTCCCACTGTTCTTGCCCTTCTGTGGGCTGCTCTGAGGTGTGGGTTTGTCTTTCACCTCTCCCTGCAGCTTTGCTTCATGTCTCTCCTTGCCTCACTTCCACTTACTCCTCACCCTTTCTGCCCTGGTTTTGTAACTTTCAAATCATGGCAGGTCTTTAATCCTTGCCTCTGCCTCGAAAGGACCATTTTTATTCTAACAAGGCAACCAAAGTTCAGGGATGAGTTTGTTACTGGTCCACGGACTATCACTGTCCTGATAATAGTAGCACTACAAAAGCCTTGGAGTCTTGAGTTCTTTTTGCCATCTTTACCCCATATCTTCTTCCTACAACACTCACTCAGTGCTTCTGGACGTGAGTGGTTGGGAAGATGTCAACGGGACTTATAATTTATCTATTTATGTATTAAGTAATTTATACTTCATGGCTTTCTTTCTTTAGAGGTCGAATTATTTTAAGTTTTTTTTTTATTATGTTCAGTTAGCGAGCATATAGTACATCATAAGTTTTTGTTGTGGTGTTCAACGATTCATTAGTTACATATGACACCCAGTGCTCATCCCAACACCTGCCCTCCTTAATTCCCATCACCCAGTTACTCCACCCACCCACCCCCGCTTCTGTAACCCTCAGTTTGTTTCTTGGAGTCCAGAGTCTCTCATGGTTTGTCTCCCTCTCTGATTTCTTCCCATTCAGTTTTCCCTCCCTTCCCCTGTGGTCCTCCGCTCCATTCATTATGTTCCACATATGAGTGAAACCATATGATAGTTGTCTTTCTCTGCTTGACTTACTTCACTTAGCATAATCCCTTCCAGTTCTATCCATGTCGATGCAAATGGTGGGTATTCATCCTCTCTGATGGCTGAGTAATATTCCATTGTGTATATGTACCCACCTCTTCTTTATTCATTCATCTGTTGAAGGGCATCTCAGCTCCTTCCACAGTTTGGTTATTGTGGACATTGCTGCTATGAACATTGGGGTGCATGTGCCCCTTATTTTTACTACATCTGTATCTTTGGGGTAAATACCTAGTAGTGCAATTGCTGGGTCATAGTGTAGCTCTGTTTTTAATGTCGTGAGGAAACTCCATACTGTTTTTCAGAGTGGCTGCACCAGTTCACATTCCCACCAACAGTGTAAGAGGGTTCCCGTTTTCTCCACATCCTCGCCAACACTTGTTGTTTCCTGCCTTGTTAATTTTTGCCATTCTAACTGGTGTGAGGTGGTACCTCATTGTGGTTTGATCACTGAACACTACATCAAAAGCTTATGATGTACTATATGTTGACTTAGTGAACATAAAAAAAAAACAAAAAAAAAAAGAAAAAGAAAAAAATAATTAACTGTGTGTTGGG